GTGGAATTTCCCGCAACAAAAGAGTGAATTTACACCAAAAATAGTGCTATGAAGTGTGTCAAATGTACCCGGAGGACCTGGCCCCATCTGTGGCAATTGATGGTCTGTTCTCTGCTCTGGTTCACTGATGAGTTTCCAAACAAAGGGGCTGAGCTGAATGGCATCATCAGTGGCCAATACATTTACTGTTGACAAGTAACTTATATAACCTCTCTTTAAAAAAAGAAAAAGAGGACTGTCCCTTTAAACAAAACAGTATGTGTTAACTGTGGCAGCTTTAATTTGATTAGACAAAATAAAAAACGTGTAATAAACGTGCTTTATTTACATGAGAACTGCAGTGCACACCACTCATATCTCCCCTCCCCCCAAATTCCTGCTGTATTTATCCCTCTGGAGAGAAATAAACTACCTCATTATCACAACAAACTCCTAATTCCAGTGTTGGTGTCAATTGTGTGTGTTAATGTACAGCTTACACCAGGCTAAAGTTTTAATGTCTGCCAGGTGAAATAAATAATACATCTGAAGGAAAGTTATGTGCAAAACAAGGAGAGTGAGAGAACAAATTTGCATGTTACAAAGACAGGATGCCAATAACTGCTGTATGAAACCTCATGGTGTGTTTGCATGTGCTTTGTGTTGATATCCACAACCACAAATGATTTTAGACCTTTGGTTGCATGTGAATCCATGTGGGAGAACAAACAGACCTCTGAAACAGATGCTGCTAAGCTGCAGTATTTGTCAAACAGGTTCATTTGTAAAGAGTGACTTTGACGAGTTTGAAGCTTTCTGTTGTCCAAGGGTCATGGTCTTGTGTTCAAATCCACTGTGTTTTGAATGGATTTTGGATCATTTATGTTCAAATTGTGGATAAATTTGGGATAAACCTAAAAAACATGTTCAAGAGACTGAATAAGCCTTACACTATCACAGTGAATAAAAAGCTACAAGCACATAACAAGTGTAAGTTCTGTACTCAACACCAATTTTCTGACACTTTCTGAACCCATTTTATTTCCATTTGCTACAGGCTTTGCACTTTAACAGTTTTTCTTTGAAAAGTAGTCTAGATGTTGGTCCTTAGTAACAAATGTGGCTTCTTCACAGTGTTCTGTTAATTAAATAATGGGTGTTTTTTTAGGCCTTCTGTCCACAACCTTTTTTTTCCGCCTGCAGCATCACTTATCCACACAAAATCTACACAGTCCAGCCCTCAGCATCAGCTGTTTTTCACCGCCCTCAGCACTTGAGAACTTGCAAACAGTCCAACTTATAAAGCACAGCCACACTCGCCAGTGTCGCATCTTCCTAACTGACCAATCAAAATCAAGAGGGGGTGGAACTTAATGGCAACAGGTCTTTACCCAAATCCAAACAAACAAACAAACAGGTTTTAAAATAAAAAAGCATCTTGAGACCTTAAAATGAGACACATTGTTTTTATTTGCTGCAGTATTTGAGTATTTATTTGATCTCATTTAATTGAGAAAGTATATCAATATCAGACATTTATACTGGATATTACAGACTCTATTAAACATGAAAAGTTTGCCAGCGATAATTAAATCATAAATTATACTTAACATGAATTAAGTGTAATTGTAAGTGTCAGTATTTTATTGCCAATACTTAAGTTTACACAGTTTACACTGAGGTTTCAGTCAAAGATTTATGCTGACAAGAAAAATGTTTATCTAGAGTAACTCTACTAGACCGAGTGTTTTCTTGTAGTTAAATTTATCAGCTTTGATTTCAGCCGAGCCAGTTAAGATGTTTAGTTATATTATTGAATAAATTGGATGATCCATGGCCACATATTTGGCTGTCCAGTCGTCTCACACTCCAAAACGACGTCAGGAGTGTAATTTTACATCTGGAAGGACTTTATTTTTTAATTCAAGAGCTGCCCTGCACAGTTAGACCTGTCACTGCAGATATAATGTTATTATTTCTACAATACCAATATGTTAAACACAAAAATGCTTTAAGAAATGTTTTAAAACAGAGAAAATCTCTCCTTATTTGGCTCTTAAAGTAGGTAAACACTTCAGGGTTTTGCAGTCTCCTGAGGACATTGGGAGTGATTTTTCTTTGTTGCATCATTGTCGGGATCAGATGGGTTTGTGAGGCTCTATTGTTGTCCAAGTTTCTGTTAGAGGCCATTTTTTATGTGCATTTCCTTCCTGTCATTCACAGAGACAGAATTGGTGCTATTTGGAGGACACATTGCGCACTGGCATCACTGTGTAACAGACTTGAAGGGGAAGACTAAAACAAATGGATAAGGGACGAGGATTGAACTATAAATGTGCAATCTTTGTGTGAGTTTCTAAAGTATAAAAATATATTATATAAACTGTGGGGGGAAAAACATGACCCATATTTTAGACTTTGACAATTCGTCTTGGCTGAAAAGGTGAGCTTAAATTTGTCCAAGCATAAAAAATATCTCTGACTAAAAGACAAACATTAGATTAAATGAAATCCAATGTCTGATTGTTGGAGAGCCACATACGCTCTTATCGTGTCCTTTATTCCCCTTCAGCGTGTGCCAACCCCGCTGTTATCTGGGCACTGTGTTTACACAGTAGCTGGCTACAATCAAACCATAAAACGGGAGCAAAACACTAGCACAGCTTTACACAGTAGTCATATGCTTTATGCTCAGAGCTTCATACCTGACTACAGTGGAAGGTCAAAGAGAATAAACACAAAGTTAAACCATGGTTAACTTTTAATCTTTTAGAAATAGCTTGAAGGAAAACATTATCATGATCATAAACATAGAAATTCATTTAAGACATAGTGTAGACTTGAACTTCCTGAAAATAAAAACTAATTTTGCTAATAGGACTCAAACTGAAATAATCTTTTCTTGTATATTTCTCCAATTAATGCAAGCATGCTCATCTTAACCTGATCATATCACTTACAAGTGTTTAAATAGTTTGAGGCTGCATGAATGGGAGAATTTCTTGCTGGTTTTGACATTTGAATCCCCCCCTAATCTTATTATGATGACGGTTCAGTGACTGCACTTCAATAATAGTACACACTGGTGTGTCCCTCACTGGAGTCAGAGGAAGATATTGGCAGATAAACCTGAATACCGACAGATCCCTTAAGGTCTCATTGGGTTGCAGAGCAGCAGCTGAAGGCCCTTTAATTAAGTTAAGAGTAATGTGAAGTACGTGTGTGTGTGTGTGTGTATTTCCTGGTGCATGTTTGAGGTTAAAGAGCTAAGGAAAATACTGACTGGAATATAAACTCAGGAGAGATGTATCCCTGCAGTTTAGGAAGCACATCGTTCTGAACATAGAGGACAGATTAAACAGTTTTAGGGCGATGTGTGCTTGTTTCTTTGTTAAATGTATTATTTTTGTACTTCATATAACCTACCCAAGCTACAGTCATAAAAGCACACAGCCAAGGTTCAAATCCAGCCTCTGGCCCTTTGCCACATGCCATCAGTCCTTTCTTTTTGTCCTTCTTTATCCTTAAACAGATCCTTAAAGCAAAAGGCATTAAAAGCCTCCAAAACTGCCTTAAAAAAGGGAACACAATCTTGACCTGCAAGTCAACAGATGCTGCTCGCTGCCATTCAAATATTTCATTCTCCTACTGTCAAAGCTCCTGTAAGCAACTTCCAATATGTGTCAGAGTTGGTGCCTCTAAGAAAAACAGAGTTCTTCAAATCTCTTTTTTGATCTTTCCTAGTACACGTATAATTGTTTTTTTTTTCTAACTACAAATATAACATGCTTACTTCCATAATCTACTGCATAAATGTTTCCAAAAGTCCATACATGGCTTTTTCTGCAGCATCCTGTAAAACAGTGTCATCACCTGTTGTACTTTGCATAAAAATTTGTTTGTGCAAAATAGTGCACATGTGAGGACTTCCCCTGGTGCACCAAGTATGTTCTCGACTTTGTGCTGTATTTTCCCTGAGACTTACTGACACCCTTTTCTCAATTAAAACTGACAATATGAAACATGAACTTTGAACATAAACCCAGGAATCCGGTGAACTATATGTGGCCAGCACCCTGTATCTAAGAGTCATGCTCTGTTTACTGTACTTCAAACGCTCAGAACAAATGCAAACCCATGTAAACAGCATGCTGCACCCTCACAGGGAGGCTGCTCGGCTTTGTAGCTCAACACGTGTGACCATCCGTGAAAAAGATCAACAAAGGAGCTTGGATTCGCCCGAGAGTCTGAGCTATAATTGGATGTCGGCCAGCATGCACATATGGGATTGGCTTTCATCTTTTTAATTGCATGCGCCGCCATCGACAAAGCTGAGCGAGATTTATCCTGTATTGTACTTTCTGTCTTTGCTCATGTCATCCTACGTAACCTGTAACCAGAGTCAAAGGTCAGCTTTAATCCTGACTTTGATGTTTCTCTACCAATGGAATCCACATTGAAGTTGAACCTGAAGATGTGTTTCCTCGTAGGCTTAATGCATGCAGTGGCTGACTTTCAAGTGGCAGGTATGTGGCTCCCTTAAAAGCTATCACCATGGTAACCTGCAAGTCGAGTTCAGGATATCATGACCAAATGCCCCCTCACCAACCAGCTCACTGGGAATCTCCAGTAACAGAGGATCACATAAGCATGGTCAAAAGAAAGAAACACGACTTACCCACTCTCTTCCAGCAGCCGCTTGTTTGTAGTGAGACTTCAAGCCAGTCCATTACAGACTACAGTGGGGTGATGCAGCTCAAGGAAGAACATTTATGATAATTTCTTTATAGAAATGCAATCAGACCGAGATGCTGAGGCAGAAGAACTACCGAGTCTGCAGTGTAAAATGATTAATATATTGATTATTACTTCAAGGAAATGATCAAGAAATGATCATAAATGTTCTTTCTTGAGCTGCGTCACCCCACTGTAGTCTGTAATGGACTGGCCTGAGGTCTCGCTACAAACAAGCAGCTGCTGGAAGAGAGAAGTTGAGTTGTGTTTTGTCTCTTTGCTGAAGAAATTAGGCAAAGTTAAAATTTGTGGTGGCTAGTACTATGGCTGGGACCCTTTATGTACTGTTGATGAAGTTAGGTGCTGTTCTGAGCATTATTTGTGGCTATAGAGTGGTGTTTTGTTCGAGGTTTGTTTATGGCTCCTGAGACCGCTGTGTATTGCTATCTTGCGGGCTTTACTTAAATTGGTATAACTAGAGGAGCAAGCGATCGGCAACATTCATTTCTTTAGGGGGTGTCTATCTCAGTGTTACAGTGTGTTTGATCCTAAATTAATTTTATGCCGGAATATCCCTTTTAATGAGAGGCATTTCCATCAGAGTTTAAAACCAGAGTCAATTTTTTATATGTATATATAAAGTGCAGGTCTAGACCATCTTCAAAATCCAACAATGAGTAAGCACTTTCTAATAGTGGCAGTGAGAAGCTTTCTTTTAACAGGTAGAAACTTTAAGCAAGACCAAATTGGTAAGTGATCACCCATCTTTCATGACTGAATGAGATGAATGTTTTATTACTCAAGATAAAGTCAAGTGTGCAAGGAACTGAACTAACAAAAGGCTGGAATGAATCCGGGCTTGATTTCTGCACAGCTCTGGACAAGTAATTCAAATTCAGATGTGTTAATATTCGAAGCCACAACACAGGCTTATACAATCATCTGCATGGCTGCTTCATATCCACCTCCACTGCGGATATTAAATCAGTTTCTTGACAGACAGCTCTAATACATGTGTTCGATTATTTTGTACTCCGTATTCCATACTGACAGCAAGAGGAGTCAAAGATGAAGTATGAAGCCTACAGCCTGCAAATAGTTTTATTATCTATTTACCCTGAGAGTTGCATATAGCCAAACTGTCATGATACATTTGCAGCTGCCCTTCTTATATACCCTGAAATGTTATTTTACATTTAGATTTAACTGAAAATAATGCAAAACAGTGTATCAGATATTGAAATGAAACTGTGTGTGGTAAATACTTATATGCTTATTTTATGCACCTTTTAAACTTGGTACATGTTGGATGCTGAGTCTCTTGGAAGTAAAGCTTCACCAATGAGAGACTGTGTGAGCAAAACATGTCTACGAAAAAATTACAAATAATGTTCCTCGGTGCAAAAATTGCAAAGAAAAGCCAAATAGACAATGTCTTTTGTACCATCACATAACAGGTGAAAACCCCCAAAGAATATATTTAAGACAGTGGTTTTCAGGGCCTTGGAAAAGGTGATTCCAAGTGTCAATACTCTTTTCAGACTGCATCTTTTATTTAGGAAACACTTCATGATTGATAAAACTAACTTCAAGTCTGCCACGCTGATATCCCAGACTCGCTAAGCTACACATAATCTATTTTCCACGTGGCAAATCACTCATCTCCACAAAGACGAAGGTCAAGAGGCACAAAAAGAGCAATCAGGGTACTTCTGCATGATTCTGCATATCATTTCTGAACCCTTATTATGCTGCTGCGACTCTGCCCACGTGTACCACTCTTTGACGTCTTTCTGATATTCTGACCTTCCTGTATCTCTTTGTACTCTGCCCCTTGATTTTCTTTCAAAGCCTCTCTTTGTTCTGCACCCAACAGTATATCTTATCTTTTGTTTGTTGGGAAAAGTCTCAAATGAGCTTACTGTGCTTTACAAATGGAACACAGCTCAGAAAACTGAAACGGTACAGTTGGCCGGATATTTGCCTCTGCTTCGCCTGACTGTACTTCTTGTGTTGCACAGTGACTGTATAGGCCTATAAACTGCAGATGGACCATGTATCTCCTCCACCCACAGGACAAAATGAGGAGAAAAAACGTGTCTGGGACCAGAGGGATCAGTTTTGAGGAGTTATGGTATTAATGTCCCACCCCTTTTGCTAGAGAAAACTGAATACTAAAGCATTAATTTGCATGATATCTATTGGCTATATAGACGGAAAATATGTATAAAGACCCACTCCGATGAAAATCATGTTTTTCTTGTTGTCTACATGTTCGTATGGCATTTTTCTGATACTAGAGGACATATCATGAGACAAAAAAGTGCAAAATTGTATTTCTGAGTATTTCTGTATCTAAATCGCTGTGAATCTCTGGCAGATCCAAACGCCAGGATCAGATACAGTGAGATTTCATATGTAACCAATCCAAGCTCCGCCCCCAGGGCCCCACTCTACAGGACAGACTTGGAGAAGTATAGAGGACGATCACAGAACAAGCGTCTGCGTTAGCTGATTGCAATATTCATGAGATAGCTAATTATGATATTAGCTTTTGTTATGCCCCTAAAGACAGTAGTGTGTAGAACAGCGCTGTCTCTGCCCACGACTCAGAGGCAAATTGCTAATGAGCTGCTCAAGCTCTGCAGAAGAAAAGCCCTAGAAAACGACACAGGTAACATGATTTTGGCTAAAAACTTAATAGTCAGAATTCAAAGACCAATGAAATACTAAGTAGTAAAAAAAAATCAATCGGAGTGGGACTTTATGAACTGATTCCTTAGTCTGTATTTTGATTTAAAGTTTGACCCATGTCTCATCGGTTCATTTGAATAAAATGGCCTTGGCTCCACCTCATATTTGTTTTTTTGATACAGTCTGTGGCTTTTTCTTTGATTTATGACAATAAACCAAACAATCCACTAGTTTGTACAAACTCCAAAAAAATAAAGCTGACATGTTTTTTTAAATGTTAGATATTCATCTTGAGTGTTCGTACCTTCTTAACATTAGCTCATAGTGTATTTATTTATTTAACCTTTATTTAGCCAGGCTAGTCCCATTGAGACCAAAGATTTCTTTTTCAAAGGGGGCCTGGCCAAGAAAGGCAGCAAAGCAGTTTCAAAACAAAAAACAAACACACCCAGACTCACTCAGCTCAACATCAGTAACAAGTATGGTAAAAATGAAACGTCACGTAAAACAGTGGCATACAGACAGTTTGCTTTCAAGAGTTTTCACCAAAGATTTCCAAACACTCAGAGACACTAGGTTCTGTAACTTAAATTCAATCTGCAGGTTATTCCATGCAAAAGGAGCAGAAAACCTCCAGCTCAGTTCGGACTTTGGGAACAGCAAACTGCAAGTCAAGCGAACGCAAATTATGTAATCCTTTCTTTGCGACAAGCAAGGAGGAAAGAAAGAAAGTTTTACAGTCACTTTGGCTGAGATGCTCTTTCAAATGTAACAGGAAGCATAAATGGGACAGAGAGCCTGCTTCTTAGGATGTGGTCATGCATCGACATGTGCATGTGGCTGTAAAGCGCGGCCTGTGGCTTTAGAAAACATCTGCAGCTCAAAACTAGCACTGTTTTTCTTTGTGGGTGTCTGTTGATGCTATAAAGCCAGATTTATTGATGTTACTAAAGAGTGTGAAAGGGGAGAAATGTGTTTGGATTTGTTTCTTTTCGTCCTCACAGAATGGAGCCCATCAAATATTCACCCAGAGCAAGAAGAAGAAGAAGAAGAAGGGAACACATCTGTTTGATCATGGGCGTGAGTCGATAAACAGAAAACCTACGTCATAGTCAGGGTTCAAAGGAGGGACATGTACTGCAACACCACATAAATAGACGCCGCTGTATGAAAAAGTAAAACCAAACCATGACGAGCGCTCATGGTTGCAGTTATAGGTTGGTGAAAAGAGATTTGCAGTAAAATTTCTGCATTCTTATGCATTTAGTTTGGGCGTTTGAGTTTGATTCAGCCTGAAGATCAAACAAAGGTCACATGGGGACTAAGACTAAGCAAAGATCTCACTCCGCTCTCCCTTAATTACAGTAAGCAGTTTGAATATCAAGTTTGTGAGGTGAACTCACTGTTTGTTTTGATGTTAAAGGTTAAGGTTGCGCCATGGCAACAGGGCACGAGGGGAGGATCTGCAGAGGAGGAGTCAGGACAAGAACACATAAGCAGCTGAGCAGTCTCCAAATCCTTCTAAATGACTACAGCTGGTTTACGTCCCCACAGTGGAGACAATTAGATTCAAAATACAGAAGGGGGATACAGTGAAGACGCACACTATGAGTCATGAGGCAGCACAGAGTACTCTCTGTCCTTTCACCTTTGTTTTAATGGTACTGTCAGTGTCTTTACTCCCTTTTGTCCTGCTTATTGCTGGATTTTTTGTAAAGCTGCTTGGCTCCGAGTGTCACTGCGAATTACAATAATGAACATAAAGCTGCTATTTTCTGGTGTTTCCCAGCCAAGCCCAGCGAAGAGGAGGAGGAGGAGAAGGTTACACTAATAAAGGATGGACTGAATGCTACTGGTGCAGGAAAGAGATTCACTCACAACACTTTGAGGAATACAGTAGCTAGACTTTACTTCGTGGGCTTAAGCCATTACTCAAAGGTGACAGAGGAAGAAGTTAGCACAAAATGTGGATACAGCACAAAAAAACATTAAATGCTAGCTCAGAAAGTGAACAAAAATAACATTTTGTTTTGGTTTTATGCCTGTATTTTTATGATGTAGTCCCACAGTACAATGTTTGTATTGTACGGCTTCATACTAATTGTACAACCTCTGCCAAAGTAAAGAAGTGTCACTGTATTTTCGCAGAACTGCAGCCAGTAGACTTCATTCACTGAATATATAGCAGGAAAAAAACGCAACCTCTTGGCTCCATTCTTGTTTTGGCCCAGTTTTGTTCTTATTCTGTCAGCACTTCCGGCTGAACAAGTCAAGATTTTGCCTGTGAAAGCATGTTTGATTGTAGATTATGTGTGTGGGGGTGGGGATGCCTACGTCTGCGCTCATCATTTATCAATAAGGTCAGCGAGGAGTAACTGGGTTAGTTTCTTCTTGTACTCCAGGGGAATTAATTCTTGCTTTATTAAAACCAGAACAAAGAAAACTCTTCATAGAGGAATTATGCGTGTAATCTGTTTGCATTCTTTGACATTTGATGGTTGAATTCCTTCGAATTGAAAACACAAAGTCCTCCTGATACAAAATACTGTAACCTCTGAGGATTGCATGCTTCACAAAAGATCACCGCCACATATTTTACTTTATTTGGTATTTCCAAATCTATCTTTGTGTCACGTGTTCCTCAGCCAGAGTCTGGGATATTTTTTCAGTTGTTGATAACACAAAGGTAAGGGTCTTTTCACACAGAGCAGAGGAGAGTGATGCTATGAGCCATCCTTTGTGGCATTTTGAAGAAAGGCTTTCACACCGACAGTGGTCTTCAATCAGGTTGTCAGGAGCAATAACATTCAACTAACCCATGCTGGCCGTTAACCCAAACCTTACAAAACACAAATCGAGTTGTCTGCCTTTTTTTCTCTGCATCTCCTCTTGTCGATACAAAGTGCATGACTGTATTTTTTTCTTTCTCTCTCTCCAGTGACCCTAACAAAATTATGAACCATGTCCTAGCATCTGGCTAGCTTCAACTGTGCCCTGGCAATAATTGGTATCTGCAGACATTTGATTTACAGGGAATTTCACTGCAAATCCATTTATACGCACATCAAAAGATACAATGTTTGATTTTATATTTTCATTTTTTTCACAAACTTCAGAATTTAACCTCTTAAATGTTAGAAAAAAGGATTTTACAGTCTTCTTTGACTGTTCATGCTCCACATACTTTTATTCATTTATCTCAAGCCAAAGAAGGAAAAACAGATTATATCGAGTTTGCCATGACATTTATGAAATGTACAGCCTGGACCTTTAACAAAAGGCCTCTGGCCTCTGAAAAGAATCTCCCCTCAACAAAAACTGAGTCTCGAACCGTCTGAAACTGAGGCTGAGTTCTTCCCTGCACTGGGCATGTGATGTTATCAAAACACGTCTTAGACAGGGAGGCTGAAAATGAGTTATTCTCAGCTCCTTATAGGGAGAGAGCAGCTCATGGGATTTAAAATAATAATTTTTTGGTTGTATTTTGCTACAAGTCACCAGACTTAAGATCCCTGAATGGCTTTAAAGTTCAAAGTACATTTTAGGTAAGATCTACATTGGTTGTCTTGCCCTGTAATGATTCTACACTGCATTACCACCTGCTCATTATACATTTTACCACTGAAATCCAGCTCATAAAACTCAGGACACAAACAAGTTGACTCAAAACTTGATTTAAAGATAATCAATTTGGTTTGAAATGAATTTAAAAGAATTGAAATTGCAACTTTGGACCCACAGTCTAAAACAGATTGTAGGAGCTAAGTCGATACTTTAAGGTACTGAGATGCTTGACCCAGAGTAACCTGAATGACGCGCTGCGCTACTGAGTTTTACCGTGAGCTGTGATGATCATTGAAAGTCCGGACGTGGTTCCTCAGATTCAGCAAACAAAAAATTTATTTCGATGGACATAACCAAATCCATTTTGCAATTGATATCCAACACTGAAAAAAACAAGGAAAACGCCGGTAGTTAGCGCCACAACGGTCAAAAACCTTTTGCAGGTCAAACACCTGCCCACAACAGTGACATGGCTACCTTTATCCATGAGCCCTCAGATAACAGGACAGTGACATCCAAGTCACACAAACTGAACTGCAACTCATAATATGTATCACAGCAACATATTTGGCTCCCACACAGATGTTTATCAGCCTCCATGCAAGACCAATTAACCTCAAACTAAGCTTTTAAATTAGTTGAAACATGGCGGACTCCTTCCTGCCGAGTGATTTGATGTGACGTGTGTGATGTGCTTTTCTTTGGCCAAGGCATTGTGTTTGAATTTAAGATTTGAATCAAAATCATTATGGGGTTTTCACTAAACAGAATCAAGTTTTTAACACAGCTGGGTCAGAACAAAAGTTAATAATCAAATCATGATCATATCGCTTCAAACAGACGGCTGCAGCAGCTCAGGTCGGTTATCTCCCACTAAAGGGAGTGTCTCATGATCAGAGTCTTGACCTCCATACAGAGGAAATTAACCGAACACACATCCCACAGTCGGTTCTCTAGTCCACCAGCTGCAAGCTCTTCTGCTTTGGCATTCAAAATGTTTCATGAGGTGAAACAAGAGATCCATCCAGCAGCCGCCCATTAGCCCTTATTCTCTGCTCTTTGGCTTGGCATCTCCCATTTTCTTTTCCATCCAAAGGGAGTGGTGTGCCACTTGAAAGCTTTAACAATTAAACAAAGAGCTACTGCTCATCCCTTTTCCATTTGTTTTGTCATGTTCTCCTCCTCTTGCACCCGCAGGCATCGATTCCTGCTCCGCTGTCAGCAGCACTTGGTCATGCTGCCATCAGTTAATTGAGTGTCCGTAACAACATGTTCCTCACAACAGATGGCAGAGCTACAGCTTTCCATGAAATCTATCAACATTACAGAGTAGGACGGAGTCGCACTTATGATGTTTGTCACTGATTTAGCTGTCAATTTGATCCTTTTATTGAAAGCTTCTCTACCTGATGCGACAATATTACTCAGATGAATTATTCTTTGCACCAAGAAAGAAAGCTGCTTTGTCAATATTTATCTCTCTTTCTCCTTCTAAACCTAATTAAAAGTCAAAATGCTTTATCGCTTCAGTTCCTTGCTCTAGTCATTAATAAATAATCCATTTAAAAAGGGGTTATTTTTATCTGTTTGAGATTCATAAATAGCATCGGCAAAAGGAGGAGCAGGAGGATGGGGATGAGGTGAATAACAGGGAGGAGGTTATCACATTACATAAATGTTATGAGTCTGAATCAAACAGGGAGTCTGCAGCACTCACAGTGCACAGAGAGCAGTGGCCTACTTTCACTCTCTCCTACAACTCCTCGTGAAACAACTGCAGGATCTGAACGAAATACAACAGTTTTCTAAAATCACAGAAACCACCCTCACAGGTCACATTCCTGTACATCTGAAGCCCATCTCATTGTCTCAAGTTTGCTTGAATGATTTTTGTTCTCATTTCTCCCCCTCTCTGATCTGATCCAAGTTTGAATGTGTTGCCAAATTCATTCAGACGGAGTTCATTCATCTATTGGCGCTCATGCGTAGTAAGGTCTGTGATAGAGGCGGGTTTGTAAGTGAAGGAGAGGGACAACAAAACAAAACAGAGGCGCCTGGGGAGATCCAGACACGATGCACCTCCTTGTGCAAATTAAAGTTAGGAGTTTGTTAAAGAGGGATATTCGCGTGCATTAAGTACCTGCTCTCTCCGATGGGGAGGAGGAGGGGGAGGCAGGACAAGACTGGGGGCGTTTCCAGCAGTAGCGGCGCGTAGCTTTCACACACATCTTGCGCTCCCAGCTGATGGGTGGAAGCACAGTGAAGCCGCAGACCAGCCTTAAACTGGGCAGTACCGGTGTGTGATGAGTGCACAGAGACGAACGTTGATCAAAAAGGGGAATGCTTCATCAGGCTTGGAGCAAGCAGAGAAGACAAAAACGCTGCGTAACCGACAGATCACGCCTGCGACGAATGGGGGCTGGTGCGCTCTGGCACTGACTGGGAAGCCCCAAATTTCACTCGCGAGCTGAGTGTTAAGGACTAAACATCGGCTCGTTTCCAGCCTGAGCACGTTGCCTGGGACTACTTTTGTAATTTGCTATCATTACTTTAACTTTAGCTCCGGATTAAGGAGCGGAAAGCGCCTGTATCGTGCTTACTTGGCACTCTCCAACCGTGCCAATGCTGGGATGGCTTGTTGCTTTGTGCATTACGATCCTGGTGGTCCTAATCTGGCCAGGCTCCAAATATTTTGGTACCGAAAGCAAGGCGGATGCGTTGCTTAAAGGACTGGGGTTTTCTCAACGGGCAGCGAAGGAGAAAACCGGGAAGTGCGCTTCGGACCGTGATGGAAGCACCGGCGCGGGTGAGCAGGCACGCGCCGTGGCGTTCATCTGCAAACCATCAGCGCTGGCCAACTACCTTCTCAAACACTGCAGGACTTTCAGTCATTTCACCCCGTGTCTCGGGTGGACGTGGCAGGCCAGCGCCTTCCTGCAGAGCGTGTACCAGGCGTGCTGGCCGTACGACAGCCCGATCCAGTTCGTGCGGGACAACCTGCAGCTGAGTGACGACGGGCTGGTGGCCTTGGACTGGGCTGTGCCATCTTACCAGAAACGACGCAGGACCTCCAGTCACTCCACCAGTCCTGTTCTGCTTATCATCCCTAACTCCTTTGGGAAGATCACCAGAAATGTGCAGAAGGTAAACAGACTTTGTCGGGATGATATTTGAATATTCATAAGATTCATTCAGAAACTTGAAACCAAAACCATAAAAAAAACTTTTATGATGGTTCAAGTTTTCAGTTTCAAAATGTCATGTTTTGGCAGAGGAATAACCCTTATTTTGAGATGAGAAAAGAGCCCACTGTGATGGGGAAAAGGCAGACGCAGAGGTCTTTCAACTGCTCTTTGAATAATCTGACTGAGGAAATTGAGTGAGGGATAACAAAGCATGGCTTGACTTGAGGGGCCTGGGGAAGAGCAGCACTGCTCTGCATGAATGCCCATTGACTCCCCGCACCACTCCAGGCACCTGGTATCACCCCGGTTTATTTCATTTCCTACTCCTAAGCTGTGTGCTCGCAAACCCTGCAAGGAGTGAAGGTCACATCACTCCATCTTAGAGAATAAAACACTTCTTATGCAGGGAAGGGAACTAGGATTAAGGATGACAGAAACGAGGGAACAAAATTAGGAGCATTGAAGCTTATGACTCAAAGTTGTGTGACAGTAAAAAGCTGAATGATGGAGTAACTGGCACAGTCGGACAGATCTGAGCCTCAAAGGTTTAGCTTTTTTCTGAGTAAGGGGGCTTAATCAGAGTCAGAGTATTGTGTGATGCTGTCATCCGGTTCCGCTTGGGAGGACTGAAAGCTGAGGCACCACAAGGGATATACACCAATTAAGATTGCTCCTGTCACTGTTGAGACTCAGTGCATAATGCTGTGTGTGTGTGTGTGTGTGTGTGTGTGTGTGTGTGTGTGTGTGTGTGTGTGTGTGTGTGTGTGTGTGTGTGTGTGTGTGTGTGTGTGTGTGCCAGAAAGATAGATAAAAAATGTTTATGTTTGTATGGACTCCATACATATCAGTAACACAGAGAACAAACAGAGAAGGACATTTAGACTTTATCCCCTTCTCGTTTTTTGAAACACAACATTCATCAATGAGCAATCTCTGCTAAAGATGTTTACACTCGGTTTTCTGTGCTCTTTTGTCATTATAGTATCATCTTTACACATAAATAATCCTAATGTTTCTGTATATATGCCTTACAGTGGCTTCAAATGTGTTTCACAGTTTGACCCTAAAATCACACTTTTTTTCTCATTTGTCATCTGAATCTTTAAATCTACTATTCAAATAGTTCAGAGAGGTTTGTAGTAAATGACATGTTAAAAACAAATAAGCCATACGCCAAAAAAGCATTCTTACTCATTTTATAGTCTGCTTTCTTGCTGTCTACTCCTTTCTCTCCCTGTATATATTTTTCCTGTAAAATATTAGGACATCAAAAGAAAACAGGGATATTGTATGTAGGAATGGATCAATAAACTGATCAGCATTGGCCCATAGAAGGCAATATGTCATACCTGCAAACATTTGGGTTATAAAATCCAGATTTTTGTGGTGCGCGCCGGGTAGTTTCCGGGGTTACCTTGTATGGTGGTGAGCTAATTATGAGAGTATTTGTAATTAGATAGCTCATCCACATAAGTAGAAGTAAAGCTGCACTCTTTTTTGTTTTAACAATAACAAATGTAATAAAAAATATGCCTTGAACTTATTTAGTCCACTAATATAGATGTTAAAGTCCTCATATATTTTACGTGCTCTCCTGTATGAGGCTCTCTGAACATCTGCGTTTGAATTACAGCACTCTTTTATCTGAGGCTGCCCTGAACGCATCACTCCGAGACGATGCAAGACTATCAACGTAAATACTATAACCTCACGTTTGTTTCCCTTTAATTGAGGTGTTTATTTTGCAAAAAAACACTGCTTAAATATAGTTTACAGCTTAAACTGACCCGAATCATCCCAAATCGTACAGTAAAAGTATCAATCCAGTGTCTGTGAGGCTCAGCAGAAACACAGGACAATCTTCGGTTGTCTGGAAACTTTAGATAAATATAGTGATCCGATTCATGAATGAACGTGGACCATCAAACTACGGGAGAGTCCTGGGAAAAACGGGAGTGTTGGCAGGTATGCGATATGTGCATCATGTTTTCTAAATTTCTACACAAAAAAATCCATTTAAAAATGCTAATGGCTAAAATAACCATGTATATTTACATGAAATTATAGATTTACATATTTGACGGAGCGGCGCCGTCACTGAGCGCAGCTAGCGCGCACACATGCTAGGCGACCACAAACACACAGACACAAGCTATACGCTACACGCCAAACTTTCCACTCTGCTCCACCAGCAGCGGTCACAAGTATCAAACTCAGTCACATCCCCACAAGTTCTGTAGTTCACACGAGGGTGCACACTCGCCATTTCACGCACACGTTCATACATTAAACACGCAGAAACTCACCGCAGACGCCGAGCTCTCCTCCTCCTCCCGCTGTCCTCAGTCAGCCACAGTGTCAGCCAAACAGGGGCGCATCCACTTCCGGGTTCTTAAAGGGCACTTGGCGGGAAAAAGGGGCACCTGATTTGTTTGACCTAATTATGGGTTGTTCTTCAGTATAGCAGACTGAGTTAAAACACATTAACAGGGGAAAATGTAACAGACGTATTTTGCAGTCTGTGAGTGATTTTTAATGCAATGTTGGTTGTTTCTGTAGAAAGGAAACCCTGATTTTGTTTTGGTGTATCCTTAATCTGCCACGCCCACTGGGGGGTGCTTATTGTTTAAAACCATCCATTTTGTCCATGTGAGTGTGGCGAAAAGAAACTCTTTTAAGGAAACTACAGGAAAGTGGAATGAGAATGTTGAACCTTAAGAATTTATTTAGTCTGGGAGAAGGAGAGTATAAAGCAGTGTTAGAGTTTTTAAAGCAAACAGAATTAATAGACAGAATTTAGTTTAAAGTAAAGATGAATTTATTTTCATATCTGAATAAGGACCACTGGCTCACCCCCCTGCATGGTAGGTGGCGGTAATGCACCTCTAACTTTGGTTGCCATCTGTCGTAAAACAACAAGAGGAAGAAGAAGAGCTGGTGATACATGGCAGATGCTACAAGGTAGATTGATTATAAATGGACAGTGTTTTTTGCTGTTTGAGTTTTGCTGGTTTCTCAAGCTGCTGTTGAAGGTTATTGAAGAACCCATTTTCAGTATGAGCCCACTGCTCGATATTTTTGTAAATAGTTTTGACACTGGACATATTTTTCACTGTGTTTGGAGACTGGTTGAGTTGAAACCCTCAAATGTAACTTTCTGACTACGCCTCACTACGGGAGAACCTGACTTTTGTATTATTTTATTGTAATATACACCTTTACACCTTTAGTTTTTCCCTCTCTTAAGATAGTTGGAAAGACTTTAAAAAATCCTTAATGGTGATATTTTATTTAGCAAAGTATTTTTACATCTACATTATTTATTGAAATGTTCATTAACTGTCAGGAAATTTGTTTTACATTTGTAAGCATTATTAAATTTTTGTATTTTGCTCAAAAAAGGGAAAAGAAAAAACAACATTTCAGCATTAGATATCGGCCAACTTACCCTCTCAATATTGGTTTTAGTATCATCAGTTAAGACTGTTATGGTCCACCACTAATCAGAACTGAGGCTGAGTGACTGGTAGAGGCAAAAAATAATAGTAGAACATTAGAGGTAGTTAAATGTGTGGGCCAAATGTTTGTTTGTTTGTTTTCCCTAAAATCCCTGTCAGAAATATTCTTTTTGGCCTTCTTTCTGGGTGTTTGATGAAAATTATCCTGCTGTCATAACCCTCTGGTTATTATGAAACTATTGCTAGTAGTAGCTGGGTTAACATAGCGTAGCATATATTGATTTGAAAACAAATATTAAGCTCCGGTTTAAAAAAAAATAAAGGCTATACAGAAGTGCAAAAAGCTGTAGTTCTTCAAGTGTCCACTTGGGGCTTGCTCTAAAAGACAAGGTATCCCCATGTTGTAATAGTCAATTCTGAAGCGTAAACAATCATGTCAATAGACTTGCTCATAATCAGCTTCTTCTTTACACCAAGATTATTGTTGTTTACAAAAACTAATGAAATCACACCTCTTCACAAATCTATGCTAAAAACAGGTGGAGACAGCTGGCGTAGTTCACCAATGAGCACATTTAATCTTGTTTTATTGTTAAACATAAGTCAAGCTGTAAAAATGCCACACTTCAATAAGAGTTTGGCACACAGCCCTCCCCCTAAACACACTTGTACATGCACGTATCATCTGAACCCATTCATTTTGCTCCACTTTAAAAAAAACAGGCCAGCGGGGTTCAGTTTAATAAATGGAGGTGTATAGGACATGTGGGAATGAGCCCTACAATCGTTGGCTTGTGATCACTGTTCAAAGCAGCGTGTTGAAGGCTGTAAATGTTCCTGGAAACAGACATCCAGCTGGTGTAGCCGTCCTGCCTCAAATGATTTACACGCATCACACTTCCCCGACAAAGCAGACAGATTTGTGGCATTTTGACCATTATTTTTTGACCTACTTACACTACATTCTCAATCTACTGCATTCATTTCACATATCATGTGTTTCTTTCTGCATGGGCTGAAATTACAATATAATCTGCTCATTATGTGTAATCAAGCCTTCATCACTTCAATAGCAGGTTTTTAGCCCATTTATTTTGCTTTTGCCTGCTATTATAGAAAAGCTTTGGAATTTTCCAAACAGCTCAGGGCACAGGAAAATAGTTCAGCACTCAAGCAGTAAATGTGGGGAAAGTTTAGCATTAACAGCCGTTTAATGGATCTGTGAGAGAGGTAATAGGAGTGTTAAGAGTTAATCAGTCTTAGGCTTGGAAATTTCTACAAAACCTTTTTTTTTTCAAGCCAGGAAAAAAAAAATGTGATGTAAGATATAAAAGGAAAAGTATCCACTTTGTTTAGCTCATATATCTATGGCTTGACACTACATAGAAATGAGCGATAACCACAGTATTGTTTAAATTGCATAAGTTTTCATTAGAATTTCCCTTAAAATGTGCTCCTGCTTGTTTAATCTGTAGTGAAATGAAGGAATAATAGATGTGCAGGTGCATGTATTGCTAGGGGAGCTTGTATAATGCACAATAGTATAGGCCGTGTGTCCTTAACAGTCTTCTCTGTGGAGGCAGTGCCGTTTTTTTCCCATACAAAACCAATGCAGTTCAGCAGCGTCAGTGCTCAGGGTCCTAAGTGTGAAAAAACATCAACTGTCTTTTTATTTTTTTATTTCTCATTATTCTAGCTGTGGAATCTCACTGTGAATGTCATTTCTCTCTCCAAGTCAAGAGGGGGTGGGACTTATGTTATCAACTTTGGCATCAACAATAGCTGAGGTCTGTACAGAGGAGGAGAAATTCAACTTTTGAAGACCTGTTGTTGATGCCAGACGACAATATCTATCAACCGTTTTCATGCAGAGCTATATTAAGTAAAAGAAAAACTTCAGTATAGCAAGCAGACAGACTTAGAGGAGGGAAAATGCAGCAGGACAAATGGAGTCAGACCTGTGAGCTAGTTTAACTCAAGCTGCGTTGATTTCTCTTTCGACATGTGTCAGTCTCACAACTGCATGACAAATAGGCAAGATCCCTCTGCTTGCTATGTCCTCCGCTGCCATGCTTGACTCATATATTTAGTGTCAGCATCCACTGGCGGGCTCTGACTGTGAGGGGGTTGAGATATTGTTTCATTACTCCTCAATTTCTGCATGAAAAAGTGAAACTAGGAGACGAGAGGAGTTTGGAATTTAGACACCAAACATAAATAATGTCCTGTAATAATGGTTCAAAGCATAAATCTGGGTTATCCGACAAAATTTTCCCAACAGAGCCTAAGGGTCTGTGAGGTTTGAGGCACTTTCAGCACCAAAAAAAAAACTACATTGATGGACACAGGCCCTTGATCAGTGAGATAGAAATTAAACATTAATATCTTTCAACCACAAATAGTGTAAATTATCATTAATAATACTGAATGCATTTCAGCTTTTGTCAAGATTTACAAAAATAAACTCCTCCTGTTGACCTCACCAGCCTGTCAAAGAGTTTTTTAGGCCAACTGTTGACCTGGATAGAGGACAGAGCTCTGCAGTGAGATGCTTTGTTTCCTGTAAAAAGGCTTTTAATCAAATAACATCCTTCATTTAACTTGATTTGTGGCCACATGTCCTGTTGAGGCTGCTGAAGTTTGTCTAACACTGGAGGTGGTCCCACAGAAGAGGATCACTGAGGTTTGAAATGCTTCTGAGAGGAGATTGTCAAACTTTGGGAGTCTGCTTGTTTTATGTCTGCGTCATTGTTTCGGCACAGAGGGAGGGGTGAATAAATGCCGCCTGTGTGTGTATGAGAGAGAGAGCTGGCATGTTGCTCAGTGTCTGGAGTCCCTGCTGATGGAATTTGTCACTGAGCTGACAGTTTATCAGCTCTGGCAGAAATCTGCTGGAGAAGCTACTGTTTGTTTTTCGACTGTTTCTTTCTCTGGTTTTTAGAAAGGCAGTGTGAGTAAACCCCGTTCATTTTCACTTCATTCTAAGCCCTGATATAATGTTATTGATGTTGAGAAATATCACATTGTGTTTCTTAATATTTTCAGGGAATTATATTACTTTGAAATTGCCTTATTCCCCTCTTCTGATTCAAAATTGTATCTATGGAAGGAGTTACGGAGGGGGCCAATTAAAGGGATATTCTGCACCTAAATTCATGAACAGTACATAAAGGGGCCCAGCCAAAGTACTAGCCACCAAACATCTTTCTAGCTTTGTCTAATTTCTTTAGCAAAGAGACTAAACACAACTCACCGTCTCCCTTTCAGCAGCTGCTTGTTTGTACAGAGACCTCCGGGCGAGTCCATCAACTGCAGCGGGGGTTGCAGCTCAAGGAAGAACATTTATTATCATTACTTTATCATTTCTTTGAAGTAATAATCACCACAGTAATCATTTTGCACTGCAGACAATGTAGTTCTTCTGCCTTAGTGTCTCTGTCTGATTGCATTTCCATGAAGTAATGATCATAAATGTTCTTCCTTGAGCTGCGTCCCCCCGCTGCAGTCCGTAACGGCCTGAGGTCTCGCTACAAAAGAGTGGCAGCTGGAAGAGAGTAGGTGAAATTAGGCAAAGCTAAAAAGATGTTTGATGGCTAGTACTGTGGCTGGGACCCTGTATGTACTGTTGATGAAGTTAGGTGCTATTCTGAGCGTTATTTGTGGCTATAGAGTGGCTTTTTGGTTGAGCGCGTGGCTCTCTGTATTGCTATCTGCGGTCGTTACTGAAGTTGATAAAACTAGAGAATCAAGCGGTCGGAAACATTCATCTCTTGACGGGGTGTCTAACTCGGTTTTACAGTGTGTTTGACCCTAACTTAATTTTACACTGGAATATCCCTTCAACATATGATTGAATTCATGCATGGTGTTCTGGTATAGAAGCTCTTTCCCGAGACAACCAAGTTATGTGTCAGACTGATGAAGTCTTCTTTTTGTGCCAAAAGGCCTCAGCACTTCCTCCAGCATGCATCTCTGCAAATTTGAAAATCAGCGTTTAGCAACGAGATGTTTCTTTATTGACAAGGGTCATCATTAAGATCAACACAAGGTTAAATTTCCTTCCAGGAGCTGTAATGAATATCTTTCCCCTTTTTTATTTTCAAATGTTCTGAACTTCTCCCTCTGCATTATCCAGAAATAGAAGTCCAAATCATCAAATTTCTATCAAAATAATCACTCCACTAATGATGTCCTGTTTTAGGAGAAACAAAAGGTGGGGATATTTCTGTCCACAGTGCAGCTGGCTGAAAGAGAAGACTTCCTGCCAAAGATCACAGGCTTTTTTTTTCTCAAACACTTCCTGCTCTCATGTGCCAGATTTGGCCTTAAGCCCAGTTCAAGGAGAAGTTGCAAAGTGCAGGTTGAGGCTGTTTGGACTGATCAGTTGACTCTCGGCAGCTTGTAAAAACTCCCATGATATTAGGCTCCAGGGTGTGTTTAGACCTTCTCTATAGTGACACCAACAAAGTGGCGCAATATCTGTTTGTAACAACTTACAGCAAGACTGATAAACTCTACAGGTTTACCCTTGTCATTTTTAAAAGTACAATGAGCTGGCTCCAAAAGACAAGGGGACCTGTTAGAGCTCAAGGTATAACCCCCTTTTTAATGGCAGAGTTAAACATGTTCACAGTTTAGAGCAAAAATGGCCCCCTGAGTCTCCAACTGGTCACAATTGTAATCCTCAGAGTAATCATCTGCAATCTGGTGACCACTGTTTTTAGGCTTCAAAACTTCTATTCAAAAACCAATGAGTGATATAGCAGAGATTTGCCCTTTATTTCACAGTCTTTGGTTTTTGTACGTCCAAGTATGGACTGTCAGATCCACGGTTCAAGAACTTTGCCAAAGTCCATTACATAGCAGTCTGTTATTGTAACTCTTAATCACAAGTGTTGATTAACCAAAGGCGGGTCAAAGAAAAATCCCCACAATTATTTTCTTTTCCAAGTCAAGGTCGACATCTGAACCAATTCAGCCGTATCACAGTGTTAACATACAAAGTGGCATAGAAAAATAAAGAAACACGTACTGTAGTTTTACTGCGTTCCCACTTCCCTCACCAACATTCTTCCCTTTGCATTAAAGTGGCACCAACCTGAGTTCTCATGCGTTAAACTGGAAAGACATTTAATGAAACACTATGGAAACTTAAAGGGGGAGACGTGTCATGCTGTGTTATTAAAACCCAGAACAGACCGTGTGGTTTTTTAAGAGGAAATGAGATTATGTCAGCACAGCTTGTATAAACAAAACGCTGGAATCGACAACCAGCTTGTGCTCAAATATGTCCTTACAGTTCAGTCTAAAAAGAGAAAATTGTGGATTTTATTTGAACAAAATTGAATTTTTTTTTTCTCTACAGCTGTGTGAAACTGCACTCTCCCATGGCTACCTCCCTGCAGTTTTCAACCGCCGCAGCCACAACGGCACGCCGCTCACCACCCTCAAGCTGCAGCAGTTTGGTGACCCTGCAGATCTGCGCGAGGCCGTGCGCTACATTCGCTACCGGCAGCCTGCAGGGAGATTGTACGCGGTGAGCGAGAGCACCGGGTCGGGCCTCCTCCTGTCTTACCTGGGGGAGTGTGGATCATCCAGCTACATGACCGCGGCGGTCTGCCTGTCGCCGGTTTTCCGCTGTCAGAGCTGGTTTGAGAACGGGTTGTGCTGGCCTCTGCAGTGGATGCTGGTGCTTTACCAGAAGATATGTCTCAGCAGGTATGGAGGGGAGGAACTTCTACATAGAGATTATGAGTCACATGCAGATCTTCCACTCATTTGTGTATTTTTGTGCAGGTACAAGACGGTGCTTGGTGAGACCATACAGACAGACACCCTGTTTTCCAGCTGCTCCTTGCGTGGCCTGGAGTCTTCGCTGTTCTGTCAGACTGGACATTCAGGTTCAACACCATCAACGCTCTCAGGGACCAGTATCAGCACCACTTCAGGTGCCTGGGACACTTACTGGGAACGTAACGAGCCCTTAAGAGACGTGGATGAAGTGGCCATCCCTGTGTTGAGCGTGTGCGCAGAGGATGACCCAATCCGTGGTGATATCCAATCCACAATCCCCTCTGAGCTCTTTGAGACGAACCCACACTTTTTCCTCCTCCTGACTAAACGTGGAGGTCACTGTGGTTTCTCCACCCAGCCAGAGGAGAGCGCATTTAGTAATGCTGGTTCTGCAGCTGTGCCAAACAACGTGAACGAGAGCCATGGGACCAACTGGAGCCACAAAGCTCTGCTGGAATTCTTCCGGGCAACCACAGACTTCTTTGCAGCGGAGGAGAGAGCGAAACAGCTCGCCACGAGAAGGAGGGGACTTGGGGGAGGGGCAGGAGGGAGGGTTTTCCGCTACCGCAGCGTCAGTACGTGTAAACGAATGCCAGCATGTTCCCATAATATCCATGCTATATACAACTGGCAGAGGTCCTACACACGATAAGGGAGTTTAATGGAAGTTAATGGACCTCAGTGATGCTTTCTGATTCTGCATGTGAAGGACTCAGGTGGTTCTCCGCCTGACAGACACTCTTCTCAAGGAGTTAAACTAAAACAAGTGCAGCTGTGTGAGGTCATTTTCACGCACTTAATGTGAGCCATGAACATGAAGGATGGTCAAAAGCATCAGGACAGGCCTCAAGCTCACATATGTTGCCTTTTTTCGAACGCTGGAGAACAGCTGACACTAAAGAAAAAAACAAGTCGCATTGTGTTTTTTAGAGACTGATACGAATCTCGTCACATCTGCCTCACAGTTAACAGCTTGCTATATTTGCGACTAAAACTGCTCATTGTCATTTGGTACACGTAAAAGCTGAACGTCGACAGTTGTATATCACCTCAATGGTGTTTATCTGGGAGAAAAGTGTGTTTAAAAATTGTGCCTGAAGTAGAAAAGAAAGTCAATCTTTGGGGAAAAAAAGAGATAAATTTGAGCTACGTGTCAAACAGGGTTGATAAACTTCACAGTGGTGTTGTACCGAGTTAACCATGTGCATCCTTTGAATTTACTGCTGTTTTGGTGCTGCAATACCAAGAAGAGAGTGCATCATACGTAACGCCCACCAAGTGTGTTTCAAGAAGTAAGCGTGTGTGTGCATGTGAGTATTGAGGTAATATATTTTTAATAAATCTTCTTTCTAGAAGTTCTCATTGTTTTTGGCTTGTGACTCAATCTTTGTGTTGCAAAGATTAAGCTCTGCTGCTTTGGCAGTGAGATAGAGTCTAAGAGACTTAGCATTAAAAAAGATATATTTACATGCTGTACCAGTCTTGGGCATCAGGGTAATCAATAATAAATATTTTCAATCATGCAGAGCACTGTGTTTCAAATATTCTGTGAAAAAAGCCTGTAAACGGGTCTCAACTAAATAAAAAAAGCGGGACAAATTGAAGATTCAGAGTTGTAACGAGCAGAAATCAGGACCCAAAACCTTTGAGCACCGTTTGTAAACCAATGTTTGTGTTATGTTGGTTTTATAAGAACGTTATGTGCCTTTTAAATGTGTATTATTGAAAATAAAAGCTTAGAAAAAGAATATTAAAGATGCGAAACTTTTTGTTGTGGAAATGTGCTCTTAAAAAATATCTCAAAGCTCCTCTGAGGATCTCGAGTTGATTTTGACACCCTTGTGAATAAAGCAAGACTTCTTATGTCTTTGATGATTTTGTTTCTAAACCAGTCAAACATATCACTCATTGTGCATCAAACTCTGTATCCACAACCACGCGGTGCTGAGAGTGTGTTTGTGTGTCTGTGTAACATTCACAGTGGTGTTTGTCCGCCTACTGAGCCTTATCCACTCAGACAGCTGGAACACAGCAGAGTACACACAGACACACACACACACATGGGCTCGCAGACACATTGTCAACACCCATCCTCAGCATCGCACACAAACATCCAGACACACTTACACGCATTAACACACACAGACAAGCTGTCAGATAGATGCAGGATATCCATGAACACTTACGCTCATTATGAGCGGGAAGATGCAGAGTCTCATAGAAAGCAGAAACCCGCTCTGACGCACAACGACTCGCTTGTGTAAATGAAACGAGATGTTTTTCTTTCTTTTTTATACAGACACAGAAAGTTTCTATGAGGGTGACATGAAGTAATGGCAAGTCAGGATGTGGCTCATTATAAACGCAACAGAAAATAATTTATCATATTTTACAGAAGCACGATGAGAAATGCAGTTTTAATAAAAAGTACCTTATATTTTTTACTCTCCGTTTTGATAGCTAACAGTATACAGGGCCTTTGTAATTGTTTGAATTAATTCATCACCCATTCACAAATATTGGGGGAGCTGTTGTGGCTCATTAGGCCTTTGTATTTTGGAACAGCCCCAAGAGGACTCCCCACTACCACCAGTACATCTTTGTGCTCATACCATTCATCAGTGCAACATTACTGTCCCAGTGTGTGTCTCCACACTGCATTACAGCACTGCAGAAGCACAAGAGGCTTGTAAGCAAACAGGGGGAGGTTAATATACACATGTAGTTTTACATGCACACTCACACACACACACACACACACACACACACACACACACACACACACACACACACACACACACACACTGCTGTTTCGGCCTCCTGGCTCTGACCACCTCTGCCAACACCAGCAATGGCAAATAAGTAGGGTAGTGACTTAACTCCACCAGCATCTCCATTTTTTATCCTGCTTTGACATTGAAATACTAAAAAGGGCTATTCTCCTTCCTGTCCTAGACTTATAGTCTTGATGAAATCATAGCATATTGACCAGATTTAAAATAAAAAGGACAAATTTAGAAGTAGAGGCCTTTCACTTGATGCATAATGTTTCAGAAAAGCTAAAACTCCAGAAGTGCAACCATCTCTCTATGACTTTAATGATACGCTAATACCACTGCACTGAAATACATCTTTATTTATATCCACCTTCCTGTTACTTATATATTTGCATGTTTCTCTTTTCCTCTTCTGGGTGGTTCTATGAGAAGCAAGTTTTACTGTACCGCATGTGTACTGTCAATATACTTTTCTACATCCATCCAGAATAGTTTGAAAAAGAAGCTCAGAGGATTGCTGAATATCAATGTAGAAATCAAGAAAAGCTTCATATTACCAACCCAGTTGTTACACACAGATCGCCTGCAACAAAAATTGTCTTCATTTGCCTCAAGCTAAAGAAGCCATTGAGATCGAATTGCCCTTTTCCCACTTAGCTTATTTAATTCAGAGCCAGTCGTCTGCCTCAGTGATCAGACACTAATTTGATTAAAGTGACTGATAGTTAATTAACACAGAACCTGACATTCTGTAGTGTCTAAAATACCCCTTTTTCCATCATACTTAATGAAATACACAATCAGTTTTCAAAGTCGAAGGGAAAATGAAGAAACGGCAACAACTCTGCTGACAAATGATGTTTCTCACTTTACATGAGGACAAGAACACCAACACTGTGTACGTTTACACTGACTTAAGGATCAGGTTATGATCAGGTTTAAAGTTTCCTGTTTTTGTGCTTTTGAACATTAAGTCCCGATTATAGATTATTTTAAACTGAGGGACAAGAATAATCAAGTATATAGACATATGAATACAACAAGTTTTTTCTGTGTATGTAAAAGTCACATCCTGGTTTTGATCACAACTGGGATAAGGCTCAACACTGTGGAGTTTATGTAAAGTATGCATTGTTCATAACGATGTTCACAGCACTGAAAACAATGAGGGAATAGTCTTTACAATCAACATTTTCATTGAAAGCAATACATTTTGAGACTCCACAGAGCCAAGCTCTGGGCCGGCCAACACAAAGAGAGAACAGATGTTCAAGTCTGGGTCACTGACATTGATTACACTCGGTTTGGACGACGATCAACACAAGAGGGAAAAAGTGTTTCCTTTCTTTCTTCCTTTTTCTTCCTGTCTTTTACTGTGGTTCTTTTCAGGTATCCACGGCACTTATTCTGAAAACAGCCTTTGTTTAGGACTGCTTGTGTCCTGTGTGTCGTACAATCTTAATAAAAGACCCTTCATAATATTGAGAAAAGGGTGAAGACACTATCCAACATTACGTCCTTTCTTTTCTGTAACTGAAACTTTTGTCACCAGTAAAAATGTTTAGTTTTTTTGCACCCCCTTTTCTGTATCAATATGCTAGCACCTGATTCTTTATGAAATGTTGCAACTTGGCTTAAAAGGTCAGCAAAAGCGCTTCAGTTTGATCTCAGTTTGGTGTTTAACATTTTCTCACACAACTGGGAAACTATATCATGACACAGTTCAGTGGGGCTGTCAAGTGACTTGCTGGAAATCCTGAGCAGAAATAGCACTTTGAGCTTTTCAGAGGTCCCAAAGTTTCAAAAACAAACTATCTTGGTTGCAAGTAAACATGTTTGTCTATGTCAAGTAGGTGTTAATGTCTGACTCTTAAGACCAGTATTTGTACTATTTCAGTGACATACTTTGGATTTCCTTATTTTAATATAGCTTACAATAAAAGAGAACTGACAACCCCAATGAAGAGAAACATTAAAGTTAATTGGATCAGTGGCGCCACCTTGTGGATTTGTGGGACAAGCACGATTCTTGTTACAGATGCAAGAGCACAAAAAAGAAAAATGTACATGTTCAAAATTATAATGTCATTGTTGTTACAGATAAATGGTTAGACTGACATGCTGTTTAAATAACTCTATCATTATTTTCTTTATAATTGTCTAAATTTACCTCACACTTTGACTGATTTAGTTGAGTGTATGCGCAGTAGTTGAAGGAGTGAGCAATGACTGGGCCTGTCAAAACAACACCTCAGTTTTTATTTTCTTGTATTTGTAATGATAGTGAATTTTAATTGAATTCATTTAAGGTAAAGTTAAAGTTTTGATTCAAATCAGAATAAACATGTTACCTTCAAATTTAAGTACAAAAAAGATGCATCAGGACAGACAAGAAAGGAGATGCGAACAAAGACATTTAAGACAGCAAGTTTTTAGTTATAGAACATCAAATTACTGTTGATCTCATTCTTGTTCAGAACATCTTTGCATCCATAACCCTTTGAGAACAGAAGCTCTGTCTGCTTCTCCGTGACCCAGTTTCACAATGATGCCCTTTATCAAGATCACTCAACCTACTTGCCCATCCAAATTACCCAACCCTGTCATCTGACGTTGTCATGGAGACCTCCCGTGTGTTGCCGCTGCTGCGACCAGCAGATGGAAGCACCTTCAAGGGTTCTTCCCGAACCGTTCAGCACTGTAACTTCATCAGGGGTCGACCCTGCTCTGACAGACACAATGACGCAGCTATCTCTGCTTTTGGCTCGGAAAACTGTCTGTATATTTAGCACCCCGTTTAAAATTAGAGCACAGCACATGGGGAATATATTAAGATGGCAGTTTAAATAGATATCTGCCAAGTCACACTCACTAGACTCAGCAGACTTGTGTCCATATATATACTGTGCAGATGTTAAGGGGGATTTTAAACTCTGTGAGAGCTGGATAATCAAGCTATTGAAAATATCTAAATACTTACAAATCAAGGCCACATCACTCCATAGTAAAAGGACACGATTTGGACTCATCATGGGGTTCTGATCAGTATTTCAATATTAAAGTTACACAAATCAATTAGATATTTATAAGTAATATGTGACTGTCCATGACCCAATTTCTTCATTCTTAAAGATCAGTACAAAAATAGGACCCTTGGACCAGTTCATGTATTAAAGTAACAAGTTCAGGGGTGTGCAGAAAGCCTAGCAGGTTAGTGTGCCCCACGCATGAGGACCATAGTCCCTGTAGTGTTCGCAGGTTTGAGTCTGGCCCTGACCATGGGCTGCATGTCGTCCCCACACTCTTCTCTGTCTTATCCATTCAACCTGAAAAATGCTCCAAAAAACAACTAAAAAATATAATAACCAGTTTATAAAAAGTTCAAGTTGGTCAAGGAGTTCAGTTCCCATATGAGGTTGATGTTTTATATTAATAAGAACATTGAGATTTCGTTGGTGTCAATACCAGCCATGATTCATCATTAAAATCATTGATGTTTTTTCAGCAAACTTGGATGGCATGATTTCCAACTCTTACAAGATTAAAGACACTCAGAGCTCAGTATGTAGATATAAAACAGCAAACTCTCAGTTAACCAGAATTAACCAGATTTTCACCAATCCAGACTGCTGCAGACAGGTGCACTCAGATCTCAGACGTTACAGTCGATTACCTATTCCAAATATCCAGCATGCTAAAGAGAGGTCCAATTCACAAATGATCGGGAGGGTATAACTCTATTCTGTATTTCTTATAATTTTAAGAAAGATTCTCGAAGATGAGCTAATGTTGGCAGTGCTCTGTGAGGTTGAAGTCTGAGTCATGTTCACCTTTTTCACCTCGGGTTAAGGCTTGTCTAGTAGTGGCATTATTCCTTACTTAATACTAAACTAATGCAGAGAGTTTTAAGTAAAAATTGTCACAAATAACCAAAATATATAATGCGTTAAAAGTTTTGGTGCTTTTAATTATTACTACTCTTAATCTGACTTTGTATGATCCAAACGCACTATATGGCATGAATTACCAGTGCTCATTTTTGTGTTTGTTTTTGGTTCACAAATCTACGGATAACTGATCAGTGATAATG